TGAAAATGGCAGTTATTTATTTCAGTAAAGATTTTTGTACACGGTGTTTTTTATGATGTCGAAAAATATGCATGGAACAAAGAATTTGTTTGAAATTTTGTGTTACAAACGAAATTTCATTTACAAATGAAGGAAGGACTGGTTCAAACTCTGGTATATGTGCGTTGCAAGCAATGGGAACTACTTTAAAGGAGACTATAAGAATTTTGATTATCAAATTGTTATTTTGATTTTTAAAAATAAAGTTTGGATACTTTTTGATCACAAAAATCTTTACTGATATAATCAACTGCCGTTTTTAAACTGTTTGAAGGAATGCCATAATTTTTTCACCAAATGTGAAGGACATGTGTACCAACTTAAAAAAAGCAAACGAATTTGATTTACAATTTTCCTGCGATTTTAAAAAAATAAAGTTTCGATGCTTTTTGATCACAGTAGTATTTACCTAATAATTTTATCAGTTTGACCTTGGGTGGCGTCGCCAAAATCAGATCAAGGTCAAATCGATTTCATAAATTTTCACAAAAATGCTTTATTTTTTAGATATTTAACTGTTTTTAGACTTTTGACACCCTATATATAATTATCTACATAAAAAGTTTATGTAGTTGTTGCTTTTATAATTGCGATCACTGTCTTTTTCTCTGATTGTGAGTGTAAAATGATTTCGATTTGTTAATGTATACTATATAGAGACATTAGTATTTGAACACAAGTGCTTATCAGATTTCTCGAGCACTGTCAAATGGAAAATGCAGAAATGCATCCAGGAAGTAGAATTTCTTCACCGTTTTATTTAAACTTTTGCTCTAGCCCAATATTAAGAAAATAATTATCCGAAAAGGATGACTCACGAAACCTCACACACTTTTTTAATTATATCTGTCACTGTTAAACGTATTTGGAATTAGCGTTCTTATTAACGAAAGTTATTAGCGAAAGAGGTACAGGTATATTTGACTTATCGAAAGAATAAATGACTTCAGTGAACGTATCATCTAAGGAACGGAATGCTTTAATGTGCGATCTAAGAATGTTTTTTTAAAATACTTACAATTAGATTTAGATACAGTATAGGCAGGGCTGGACATATTTCAAATACTTGTATTTGAAATATAATTTGTGTTATGTATTTTGTATTTCAGCGGAGCACATAAAAGTATTGTGTATTTGATATTTTAAAAAAGTTATCCAATGTATTTTTTTTGTATTTTAAGTACAATTTTGATCTATCTTGTATTTGAAATACTAAAGAAATTCACAATAATAAATTATAAAACTCTTCAATAAAAACTGAACGAGTAACAAAGGCACTAAGAGTCAGCACGCAGAAATCGTTGCGTTAAAACTTCTAAAATTATATTCTGTGAATTAAATTACATCTTCTTACATGTCGTACGTTTCGGTCCGCTTCAGACCTTCTTCAGAATACCTTGCAGAGACTGCGATGCAACCTATGTCGAACAAACGAAGAGACAGCTAAAAACTAGGATCTCTGAACATAAAAACGACATTAATCATAAAAATACACATTCATCACTGAACATAGGCTGCATTTAGGTCATGAAATAGATTGGGAGAAAATCGAAATTTTAGATACAGAGGTTTTTTAATAGAAGATTAGTCTCGGAAATGCTGCACATTACGTTGCAAAATAAAAGTCTTAATTTACAAACGGACACGGACTTCCTACATCACAGTTACGCTTCGATCATAAAGAAATTCAAATAGAGAGCTGACATTTTTCTTTCGCATGACTTTGTTCAAGATATAGAGATTTTACTTGTCATGATTTTAAGTTGAATGACACCACGGTTTTGTTTAAATCGGCGAACATTCTTAAGGATGTTTAGTACCTATAATAGTAGCAAAAAGTTAAAGGACTGATTTTGACGAATATGCTCTTCTCATATAGTTTGAGTAATAAGGATTGTGCAGAATGTTATCATTTATTCAGAACTAGAGCACAGAAATGTTTTTGTTGCTTTTTTCCTGAGAATTTTCGAATTCTATGGCCAAATCTAACCTAAAAATTTAAATTAAAATCCTTATAACTTTGA